TGCGCACGCGCGCCACGTTGGCAATGGTGCGCGCCGCGAGCATCTGCAGGTGGCGCGAGGGCTCCGCCAGGATGCGCACCAGCAGCGGCACGGCGCCCAGGTCGGTGAGCGCGCGCCGCACGTCCGCGTGGCTCGAGATGGCGCTCAGCACCGACAGCGACCCCAGCTGCGCCGCAAGACAACGCACGGTGAGGCCAGCGCGCCTTCGCATAAAAGAGGCTCCGCACACGCGGCATTCGGCGAATCCCGAGCAACCGGTCGTCGAATTCTGAGTAGTGTGGACGGGTTGCTTGCGATTCGCCGAACGCCGAACATTCGGTATTCCCCCTCCCCATCGCGTGTCGGTCTTAAGGACACAACAAGAGAGTGAGCATCAGCTGCTCGTGATTGGGCGAGCAGTAGCTCGGTGCTCGGCAAATGCCGAATGTGTGGAGCCGCCTTAACGCTCTCGGCGAAATATCACCCTAATGGAAGGCGTCCGTTAAAGATTTAACAGTCCGCCGGTCGTTAAGAACAATTGAAGGGATGAGCGCAATAGTGGTGTGAGCCGCATTTTAAGAAAACTAAGAAAAATCAAGTTGAAGTTACGTAGTTAAGGTTAGAAAGCGTTGGGAAGAGAAAAATAGTGACTTCATTGTAAACTTTATAGAGGAAAACTTATCAAACCAACACTGTACGTAGATAGGTCACCTTCTTAGACAACAAATGGTGTAAATAAGTCTTTTTACGGGAGAGGGTAAGACCACTATTGCGCTCAGCCATTCAATTGGGATCTTATCCCTTTTTTGTAACGAACCAATTCCTATGTCGCGGGATCAGTGAACGAAAGTGAAGAACGAGTGGCTGGATGGGAAGCATTTTGTGTTCTACTTCCAGTGAGAAAGACACATTTTAATTGACTAGAAATAATTTTTGCGTAAAATGCGTTGGACGTGCCCAAGGATGTTTTATGTTAATCGCGTATTCCGGCGCCTCAGTGTAAAATCGGACAGGCGTAGCGAACCGTCAAGTTCGAAGTTGTAAATAAAAGTCTGTTCCGCTCGCGGGGCTGGGCTGCCATTCGGCGAGTTCTGACGGAAGTGACCTGACTTCTTCACACTCGTAACAATCAGGGAGAAGAGCTAACCACTAAAGCAAATGAGTTGTAGTAAAATATGGCACGTGTGCGTGTGTGGGAGGGTGTTATAAAAGTTATAATGAAGGAAAGTCGGTCAACTTTGGATTTTCTCCTCAATTTCAGATTTTTGAAACATCAAGGACTTTAAGTAATTTAAGCAAAAAAAAAGTTTCTGAGAAATTTGCTCTGTAAGAACTCTTTTCGTTCGAAAGTAATTACGAACTATCACGATCTTTCTTTATTCATGATCGTAGGTTAATAACATGCGGGTTCTTTGCACTTCTTGCTCTTGACAAACTTTCCCTTTTGTGTATTTCTTCAATATGTCCTATGCTGTATGTAGCTTATAAATGATAGTATCCTACAGTCTATTATTAATACCACGACACATAGAAAAAAACATTCTAAAGCTAACATTTTCGTTCATAAACTAATTTTGAATACATCTGGACTCGGAGTTTATAGCAATGATTCCGAGAGACATTTCATCTTCAGGCCGACAAGTGCTTTATTTTACAAGTATTCGACATTTGTTTTAACGTCTTCATCACGTGCAAGATGTAAGACAAGTATTTCCGTCTGGAAAATCACTTGCATAATAGCACGATCAGTAAAGATAATGAACAATTTTAACAAACAGTGTTACGTAAATATATCTCAATCAGGACAATATTTTTTTCTAAAAGTTTCTTAACTTGCAGATTCGTGCCTGAAGAAGACGTTAAAAAATGTCGAAACGTTCTAAAATAAAAAAGAAAATGTATACAACAGTGAAATGTATTATTACGGGCATAAACAATAGCTGTCTTAAAAATAAATTTGGGATTTTAGTTAATAATCAAGGTATCCGCGAGTTTGAGTGCGATAAGTGGTATAGACGGCGCAAGCGAAGGGAAGAATGCGTATTCGAAGTAGAGAAAGGTGAACCCGAGGTCGTTTATTGCCACTACACTGCCACATTACACAGAGTAACGAATAGCGAGTTTAAAAAAAAATCCAAATGTATTGCTAAAGCATCACATCTGCCCACATGATTTTCCTTAGAGAATAATTTGATATGTGATTTTCATGGAAATCATCGGATACCTTCTCTGTATCCTCAGTTGTTGTGTGTGTGTTTGGAGGGGGGAGAGTCAACCTTCATCAGAGGGCAAATATTGTGATCAGTTACCAAATCTGAGCAATCATTTATCATATTATTTAAAATAGATTATGTCTTTGGTCTGGGGTTGCAGAAAATGAAACTGTCAGAAGCCATCCGTATTGACAGATGCCCAGTTGAAATCAATAAACTCAAAAGTTTTCAAGAACAAGCGCCAGCTTCAAATAGCTTTTTTTGTGTCATGAAACTAAAAATAAACTGCAAAACCTATCATTTATGTGGCTACCCAAAAGCACACGACACTAGTTGATTGATGTTGAAGATAAACAAAAAATAAAAATTCGAGCATTTCAGAACATTTATTTATTTTCATTCGTCTTCTTTAGCGTTCGTTTTTACGTCCCTTTACAGCATGGTAATTAATTTGAATTAATCTGTATTTTAAGCACCTAAGACATTATTTGATAGATCGAATAGAACACGTAAAGCGCTTGTTATTATTAAAGTACTTTAGATTTCGACTCGCGATGCTGTCTCATACTCGATTACTCAAGTGTCACCGATTACTCGGGAAAACCCCTGCGAGAGACTCGAGAGAACACCCACGTCGCGCCATAGGAGAAGCGCAGCTTGCGGTTCCCGGAAGTGGCTTTTAAGCCCAATTTGCTCGAAAACATATTTTTTTTCGGAAAAACTGGGCCTGCTATTGTTTACGAAATTTAACACATAATCTGTTTTTTTTAACGTGAGCTTCAAGGCACCCGTATAATACACGTACATTACTTTACAATCCATTGCCAGATAACATTACACAATTAAAATCGATAACTCAGTTTATATTGAAAGTAAAATTCAAAAATGGTTTCTACACAATTAGAGACTAGACTGACCATCAAAAAGAAAAATATTTATTTTAACAAGGATATATAATGCATTAGTTAAAATTTGCATTGTATAATTTAAAAAAAGATTGAATGTGTCTGTAACAAGGAATTTACGTACTTCAATTTCTGAGTCAATGACCCCTATCTCGAACATGTGTTTCGACCAGTTTCCCTACTCCATTGAGAAAATACTGATATGGCCCCTTTGCTGTGGTCAAAAGTGAAGCTTCACTATGCGCTTGTTTTATTGAGTTCTCCTTGGGCGAGTTTAGGTAAGAGTAGAGCCCGGGATAGAGGTATCTATTTTGTTAGCATATCTTAAAACGTCAAATCTGTAGCTTGTTTACAAATGCCAATAAGTTTTCTATAACTCGGAAGCAAATATATCTTGTTTTAAATTTTTGTAACCTAGTTTTTTTGATACTTTTATTCATCATTCAACTATTTCTGGATATCCTTTAGGATGAAGGAAAAATTCTGGAGCTCAAGAATATGTGCAAAGAGTGTACTTATCCCCTGTAGTCACATACAGTTGTACAGTTCTTTGCCGAAAATAAATCAAATGAAACTACAGTTCTCTATATTTTCAACCACGTTCTTCTTTCCATCAGAGCAATAATTATATCTGCGTATTTATTTGTACTTTCTTAATAGTAATATTAATTTTAGTATTAATTTCAATAATAATAGTAATATTAATTTTAACAATGACATTTAATGTATTTATTTAATGTATTATTTACCTTTGGATTGTATAATTCTAAAGAACCTGTATAAAGTATTGTATTTCAGCTTCTGGTTCAATGACCTCTACCTCGATCGAATTTTCGTTCAGTTTACCTGATCCTCGAGCAAATGCTGAGATGGCCTCTAATTTTGCTTCTGAACATAAATGTAACTTCAAATTAACTCCTCCTCGTAGCACGTCACACACAGTTTTTAACTGTTTTCGACGTAAATAAATAAATAAATAGTAGTAAACTGAAAATGGGAAAACGCTCTCACCTTGCATTTGAAGTTGCTAGTCTCTAAAAGATTGACTAGAACCTCCAGTCCGCCGATGTCCCGAATCGCCATTTGGTTTACTTCCGTGGTGAGATCATGGTCCTTGAGGCAGCATAGAGCCACGATGGTCACGGTCTGGTTTCCAGCCTGCATTAACCAGTGTTAAAGTTTATGCAGTTTCTAGAAAATATTAGTTGAGTGATACTGAGCAATACTGATGAGAAGCAGGAGAAATTAACGAACGAGGAAAAATGAAGGGAATGTTCAATGATCAGAAATCTAAGGTTGTTTTTTTGAACCATTATAGTGCAGATGTAACCATTTAAGCAGGTATTACTTCTACGTTTAAACATGCAATTGATGTATAAACTGAAAATAATCGTAAATACGAATGTTAGAGTGAAAAGCTAGACTCTCGAATAAAGAAAATAAAATGTATTAAGGGAAACTGAAAAGGGACTGAAGAAAGAATATAATGATTGATTTTAATTCATTTCAAATTCTTTGCCCAAAATGATTATTCACATTAACTAATTTATCGTTGCTTTGTGATCTACTACATTAGTGTATTTTGAACATCTTACACTCAATGCCCAGTTTTTATAAACAATGTATGGTATTATTGTGCAATATTTAATATTGTATTTCAAATATTTGTAACATAAATATTTCGTAATTATTCAATAACCGAAAGAACCTAAATATCAATTGATAATCGCTCAATGATTTCATCTTGGGTTATGATGGGAGAATAAAGAGTGAGAAACGTCAATTGAGAATAAGTATTTGATTCAGCATTGTATCCAATATCATTCTGAACCGTGAACTTAAAAATGTATCTCATTCGTTTATTCATTAGATGCCAATTTTGTTCATAGTTCTTCCCCCAAAAGTGTTCCTCCGCTATTTGACAGTGCCCCCCTTTTCGATCCTTAGTTGTGCTTTGGAACAGTTACTTCCTTCCGCCTGCTGGGTCGCGTCGAGAGACTCTCGAGAAATACCTAAGGTCTCTGTGGAGGCTAATTTTATGCAGGCTATCAGCTCCAGGGAAAATGCTGCATACAAGAGGATTCCATTGAAGGATTTATCTATTCTGGAATGCTGGGAATGACCATTATCTGAAGTACGTTTATCTCGTGTATTCTCGGAACTTTAATGTTCGTCACGTGGTTCGGCCTCTTTCGAAATTGTTCCTCTTGCAGAAAGAATTTTACCTCTACGCATTTGCTGATAATGTCACTTGGGTATTGTGTTCAGAGTAATGACTGATACTTGGCGACTCTTTAGCAGTAAAGAAAAGCCTTGTGATGACCGTTTACGAAAAAAGCGTCTCATTATTTTATACAACTATAATTGATATATTATCTTTTTTAGGCAAATAATTTTACCCCTAAACGGTTTGCCTAAAGAACTCTTATGCATTTTCTAGAATGAATTAATTTCTAAGTCTTGGTTGGGTAACAATAAAGGATTTTTTGAGTGCGTTCCTTTCCAACGTGATAAAATGCAAATAACACAAACGTAGGCAAGAACCTTCTGAAATAGGTCATGTGAAATTACATTTGTAACGTATCTGTCTAATGTAAGCAAGTAATATATTAAATTGCAAATTCTCCATGGATATCTGAGGTGTGGTTGGAGAATTGGTTATTCG